AGCATTAATATATATTTTTTATTTCAAGCACCTATAAATAAATGTCAAAGATATAGACACAACCATCAATCTTCTATCTTGACCTATCTAGCTGTCATCCTAGTGTTTAAGCATTACAAGTAGTCCCAATGTGCCACAAATGTATGCCTAGTTACGCCAATATCCATCCAATGAATGCCAGGACATGACCTTCAAAATATTTATATATGAAATGAAATATAACCTTTAATGTCTTAAATCTTACTTTATGCGACAATTCTTTTCTGACTTAAGACACATTGTTTCAAAGTACCACGTATTTATTTTTAGCTCTCGCTGATGAACACATATATAAACTCGACATGACCACCAATGCACTCTCATATCATGTCTTTTGACATTGAAGTATGACCTTGGAACTTTTGTCCGCTACATGTCGTCTTACAAAGAGGCATATTTATCCCATTCATCCATTAATGAAAGAATCGTTAATCAGACTTTTTAGGCACTTTAAGGAAATAGTTTGTTCGGAGTGAAAGTATGATTTTGGTCTTTGATCTACATAATCAACTGGGTTTAACGTTCCTTGAAGATCGTTCAGCACGACATTATTGTTGTATATACTTTAAAGATGGTATTTTTAGTTTCTTGTATTTGGACTTTTTCAACTTGGGTGGTTGCGGTATTCCTACTTGAATACTGTATAATCACCCTTAGGATATCTTGCCTGCTTTTTAAATTTGTCTTTTGATGTCTTGTCTGTGGTATGCAGGCTTCATAACCTCTGATCCCCTTTCTAAATTCCGTTTTATTCAGTTCCGCTCATTGTTTTTTCGTTTAGGGCACACGCATTATTTTACTTGGAGGCCTTACGTCGCTTTCATGGAATAACACTACTGTGTCACATTGAAGGTTCCACACATCTGTGGATGTTTCTAAATTCAAAATTGCACCATTTTGTTTGTGTTTAAATGTTGTATTCTGCTTAAGCCGGTGCTTGGGGGCGTGGATGGTAACTTGCACTTTCCAGTACCGTCCATGAACAGGCTCAATCAAACCGAGCCTGCAACATTTTACAATTTTGCCGTGTTGGGCGGCTTTCTTTAGGGATTCTGTTTTTCTCTATTTACATGTGAGTCATTGTCCCAGTGTGCCATATGTAATAGTTATAAAATATAAACGAGGACTTTACCGGCTGGTATCAGCGCATGGGGCGACAACAAGGGTCAATCATATGAAATTAATCGAGACGGAACGTCGAGATTAATTTCCATGATTGACCCTTTTGTCGCCCCATGCGCAGATACCAGCCGGAGAAGTCCGAGTATTTATTCTGTAACTGTTTTATCGCATGATCATCACGACTTTTTTCTTGGAGATTTACGCTCTCTCGTTATATTTGCTTTATTTAAATATATAAATATTTTTTGAAATACCCACAGAAATACACCCATTAGATGACTGGACATAAATAACCATTTGACGAGTTGATGCATTTTTTCTAAATGCGAAATATTAATAATCTTTCCAGCTCATTTTCAAAATATAATCAAGGAAATGTTGTCGATAAGAATCCCGGTGTATATTAATCAGAGGTATATCTTGTACGCGTATTTTTTAAACCTACGACAATAGAGTGATTTTTTCGCAACACTACTTCCATCTTTAAATAATTACGCTAGAATATTATCTTCATACGTGTAGTGATTTACCGAGTGGCTTACTGGTCAGAATCTCCTGTAAAACGAAGGCATTGTTTAAAGCAAAAATATGAGTAATTTGATCATTATTTCTGATTTGTCCTCGAGGTCAGAATGCAGAAAATGGCGATTACTTTGCACTGGAGTCAACATCTTTATAATAACTGCATTTTCAAGTTTTGAAAAAAAGATCGAGATGATTTGTAAATATTTTAAAAAAAATTCTGTCAACTGTGTAATGTTTTGTTTTGCTCTTTTTCAGGTATACTCACTTTATTATTTGAAATAAAATAATAAACTGGCCATGCGCGAAAAAGTGTACTGATACCTCATTAAGAGCACCCAAAAACATACTGATACCTCATTTAGAGCACCCTCAAAGTTTCCCAATACTGAAATTTAGAGAACGCCGATCTTCGAAGGAAGGTTGTGGCGGTCATGCGATAAGTTTAATATGCAAAATTATTTCAAAAGGCATCAATTAAGGAGAAAGTTATGGACATCTTTTCACGTTTTATATCATGATTTATGATATAGAAGTTTAACTGTAAACATAACCATGCTTGCCTTGCTCTTGTGCATGACGCGACCTTTTCAAATAACACATTTACGCAAAGTTATAGTCGTTACAGGATGGCGAAATATACAATTAACAAGACATTACCATTTTTACATGGACACAGCCTGCTCTAGGTCAATCAAAATGGATAATTTGATACCACATGATTACAAAATAGAAGACAAAAGTCCTTACACAGGGCGTCTACTCGGCACGCCAACCGCCATGTTCTTGTCGGGTTACCTATATAAGAAATTGAAATACTATCCTTATGCACGAAGCTCGACACTAATATGTTTATATCTCGTCTTTGGCAGAATTAATGTAACATTAAAAAAATCAATGGCGGCCATTTTGACATTGATTTTTAAAAGTGAAGGACTAAAAATACAGCCGTGGTAGAGTAAAACAAGTATAAGCATTTATCAGTTATATTCTGAGTTTTTTTTATTATCTAGGGATACTGCTCATAAGAAAAATTTCACAATAACTTAACGCGTAGTACAATTTGTTAGACTACATACGCTACTTAATCAGATCTTTAATCGGCAAAATAATAAGCTTCTTACGTAATTAACAACAGTTACTTGCTACACATTAAAAGTGATGTCTGTGAACATTCTATGAATGGAATTATGTTCTATACTCCGTCGACTGCTTTGCGATATTTTTCTAAAACGTATGGTGGCTGATTTGTACCTCACGCTTATTAGCTGCGAAAGTTTTATTAATTAAACTTCGCCCGACGCTCTCGCTAATTATCATGTTTTTGCCCTGCGACCCCGCCAAGCGAAAAGTCGAAAAATTAACAAGTTAAAATGGCGGGGCGCGAAGCCAAAACACGATAATTAGCGAGAGTGCGAGGCGAAGTTTAATTAATAAAACTTTCGCGGCGAATATGCTAAAAGCGTGTTTTCTCTCCGCGCCCCCACTTTTTTAACTTTTTAATTTTCAACTTTCCAATTGGAGTGGTCGCAGGGTGAAAACACGAATAACACAAATCAGCCACCATAGAAACGGATTATAACTGACCTGCAATATTATATGTGTCATGATAGTTTAAACTCGCCCGGGCAAAAGCATTTTTGAAGTTTTCTTCTTCAAGTGCCAGTTTAGGAAAGAAAACAAAATGTACTGTTATTAAAGAAAACAAAATGTACTGTTATTAAGACTACATTATCCTATCAGAAATGGCATGTAGCAAAAAATATTGCAATTTGCTGTGTTTATCTTTCAAGAGACTAAAGACTGGTACTGCCTTCGTAAATTGATAATTGAATTTTTCAGTTGTACAAATAAGTAACCCGACAAACATGGCGGGCGGTTGGGCGAGTCCATTTAAGCATCCCTCATTGAAGTTTTTTGACGTCCATTTTCTTATCATGTGATATTGAATTATTCGCTTTGATTGGCTAAAGGCAGGCGATGTACAGGTAGAACTGTTCAAATCTGGTCAATTGTATATATCGCTGTCCAGGAACGGCGATAAAAATGATTTAAGCGTACTCGAAATAGGTGAGATAGTCCAACTACCTGCTTGTTCTAAAACATGCCGTTAGGATGAAACTTTTCCGAAAATCAAGCCAGTCTATAACGTCATACACAAGTGATCATTATTTGACAGAATATTGTTTCGTTTGCAGACGATAGCTGTCATAACAAAAAATACCTTACTAAAACGAAAGAAAAGGAAACAATATTGACAGGTCTGAAGTATCAATAAATCAGCTTGTGTTTATGATAAGTTTGAAAGGTCAGTATATGTATACGAACCTATTTTTTCCTTCGATTTTTTTTTTGTTTTAAAACCGTTTTATATATTATTAAAATCTGGTAGAGAACAGGTCCGACGACTCTTTCTCAACAAGCCAGAAAAAAGAAAACATCGCATACAGAGGACAATATTTTTGTTTCACGTAATTATAAAGTCTACAAATTAGAGAAAACCCCATTCATTACTCTAAATACTTTATTGATTACAAATAATTTGCATCGAGATCACCAGGGCATGGAATTAAAAAAAGCGTTAGTTCTATTTCATGTAATTATTGATGTATACTGTTACATGCTTAGTTAATAACAAACTATTGACACAAGTTAACTTGACAAGAGAGTACCATATTACCATGGAAACAGATTATTAATATCAGGTTATAAAATAGTATATTAAACATAATTTGATATATAGGAGTAAAACCTGATCATACCAATGAAATTTAATTAAATAATCAATGACGGGCACAATTGCGATCTTTCAGAAACCCAACAATTGTATTACAATTGTTCTATTTTAAGTTCAACCATTATAAATATGTACCATTAAGTTCTGAAGCCATCATCGAGAACGATACATTTTAATGAATAATAGCTTAAACAAGTAGTAAATGGCGTAATAGAATATTTGTGAAAGATTTTCGGAACTCGTTACTTTGAAAAAGAAAACTTTATTTTAAACTACATGTATTAAAAAGTTCATATTTAAATGGTTACTCTATTTAAAAAACTATTTGTAAGCATAAGCTCATGATACCTAATAAATAAGTTAGAAAGACATTAATAACCTGTTTGGTTTGTCAAATAGGCCCATGAAGTCCATTAACGTCGAATTTTGTCAAGAAATCCACATTTACATGAAAAGATTGGATAACAATTCTACAGGTATAGACGTGACATTTGAAACAGTAATATTTTTTGTTCATTTTAGTAAAATGGGACGTACTTTGACCAACCATTTACAATTATGAAATAAAGTATTTTCATACCAATCCAATGCGGAGTTTCTTCTTTTGTCTGTCAATATTTTCCATTTCTCTTCAATGTTTTGTCTAAAATGTAGATGATTTCACTGTAATATATACATGTCATTGTTACCATTTTATGAACATTAAGATATTTAAAGTCACTAAGGATGTCACTCCTCCACTTAGAATATCATGACAAATAAAAATAGCATACAAAGACAATAAAATTGCTCTAAACATATAATGGGTGATGAAGTTTTGCTTAAAGTAGATACATAAGGTACACTAAAATATTGTTTGATACCTTATCTCGTATGCTGAGCGCAAGAAGAATGTATCCGATGAAGTTCAAAATACTATATTAATATTAAATATAGTCATATTTTAATGACCTGTCAATTGTGAATACATTTTAGTACTCATTTAAGTATTCAATCCCTCCTCAGCTCTGTATGGGGGCTGATTGTAGCCTTTTCGATTTTCGGCCAACGACACCGCCAAGCAAAAAGTCAAGAATTAACAAGTTAAAATGGCGGGGGTGTAGCTTATGTGATTGCATAAAAAATTCTTTCTTCAGACTCGACATTGTTAATGCATTTCTAAGAGAGACTAGAAGTTCATTAAAGGCTCTAGTGTTCCATCTCAAATTGTTTGTAAGAATAAGACCTAAATGTTTGTAGCTAGATACCTCACCTCCTGAATTTAAATATTGTTCATCAAACTCAAATAATCGAGAATGAAGTTGGAGGTTTGGTTCACGAGAAATGATAAGGAATTCTGTTTTCTTAGGGTTGAATTTCACAAGCCACTTTGAGGCATTTCTGACGGGCCTCTGTATCAAATTGTTTATATTCTAACAGTTTGAGTCGCAGTCAGACTTTACATAAAAAAAACAATCATTCAACGGAGTACGACAGCCTGAAGGGTTGTTTACAACCAATTTCAACTAAAGTGTTGTTACACAAGAGTGCCCGTAGCTTAAACAATTATTTAATTGAGCTTAAGTGTTTGTTTTAAGGCAAATATATAATAAGTCAAATAAAAACAAACGCTTTTTTAAGCTTTTGACGTTTAGTCTTCTTCAGAAAATAACAAATGACAAATGACGCAACGTCCGTTTAACTATATGCTAAACAGAACGCGGAATTAAAAAAACTTTGTCAAATAAATACAGAATCTTTCATGAACATAAATACAGCAATATACAATAAATTACACATATAATATAGATCTGCACATGTGATGCAAAAAAAAATCTCATAATCAATAATAATACAAAAAACCTTGTTAATATGAGAAAAACATACTACATGTATATGTATACCGGCTCAATAATATGCTTGAAAGATGACAAAGTTATATTTTATACAAAACTTTTGCATTCGTACCATAAGAGATAATGTGTTAAGTTTATGAATCCAGTATTATTCTTGTAATAAGTGTTCAATATCATCGGAGACAATCTCTATAGGCATAAACTTAAATTCCTTAATACAATGATTGGTTTTAGTGTGTAGCGACATTGGAAGAAAATAAGGGAATTGAAAAATTGTTGATATCATACCTATGGCTATTCATGCGTTTAACAATCAGTGTTATAATTTACATGATAAATCTTACCAGGAACATTAGTACTACTAAATTTATTGACTTTCAATAATGGAGCTGCAATGTGTACATCTGCTTCTATCACATCTAGATGAACATTTCGCATTTTTGTTATTAGATTTTACATTAGAATTAACAAGATTGTCTTTTAGATTCGTTAATTCTTTAAATGCAACCAAAGGTTTACCTTTATGTAGCTTTTGGACTGAACATTTACTTGAAAGTTAGAGTAAATCTCAATATCTTTTAATGATATTACCAATATTATGTAAAGTTGGGTTCTCCTCAACAACAAAGGGAATAACACCGTCTTCACTTGTTTTGTTATTGCTGCACATGGCCTAATCCTGTGCATTAAAAATAACATTGATAGGACAATTTCGTTCTTTGAAGTATGTCCGTAAATTCTGTAAAGAATCGTTGACAACATTATCGTCAGAAAAGATACGGCGATAACGTTTCCCTTGACTGTACGGAATACCATTTTTATCTATAGGGCTTTTGGATTTTCTAAAGAAGATATTTAAAATATTAACTATATAAATATAAGGAAAATCAATGACCCCTGGGCCCTGGGGCCCGGCCAAATTTAACCCTAGGGCTTTTATTTGAACAAACTTGGTAGACATCGACTAAATCATGTTTATGCCAAACTACGGAATTTGTTTGGCCAAACGTGATAGACATCAACTAGAACATGTTTCATGCTAAATATCTAAGCTCTTCCTCTTTTGGATTAATACAAGAAGCTTTTTTTTTTAATTTTCACTATATTCATATAAAGAAACTAAATTTTCTGACGAGCGGGGCCAATTTTCACTCTAGGCATTTTATTTTAACAAACTTGGTAGACATCCACTAGAAAATGTTTAATACTAAATATCAAAGCTCTACCTTTTTTGGATTTTCAGAAGAAGTTTTTTTTTAGTTTTTACTATATACATAAAAGGAATGCCAATGACCATTGGGGCCCGTCCAATTTTGACCCTAGGGCATTTCAGTGAACAAACTTGTTAGGCATACAATAAAAGATATTTCATGACAAATGTGTAAGCTCTACCTCTTTTGGATTTTCTCAAGAAGATTTTTAAATTTTTAATATATACATGTAAAGAAAATCAAGGACCCCTGGAGCGGGGCCAATTTTGACCCTTAGACTTTTTATTTGAACAAACTTGGACGACATTATTTTAACAAACATTGTAAACATGAACTAGAAAATGTTTCTTGCCAAATTTCTAAGCTCTAGCTCTTCCGGTTATTTACAAGAAGATTTTTAAGATTTTGTAAAAAAATCTTTTGGTTGCCATAACAACCAGAGTTCTTTATGGAATTTAATTATTTGAACAACTTTGGTAGAACCTTATGCCTTGAACATCCCTGTACAGTTTCAACAAATTTGGCCAAGTGGTTTAGGAGAAAAAGTTGATAAAGAAAGTTTTGATACACGGACGGACGGACGGACGATGGAAAACGGACAATGGGCCATCACAAAAACTCACCTTGAGGACATTGTCCTTAGGTGAGCTATAAAAACTATCACATATGTTCATGACTATTCACGTACTATTCATATATTCAGAAACTATAATTAAAATACACCTTAGTTTGTTCTTCATTATAACTTTGACAAGTCAAAGATCATGATAAGTATGTCCTATCTGAGTAAAGTTAGACATTCCATACTAATCCGCCTATCACAAAACGGCTGAAAACTTATATCGAAGGTCCGGTTTAGGTGACTTATAATGTGTTGTCATAAAATGTTTTCCTGACGTTTCAAAGTTATCTTATCAGCATACTGGTTTAAAGTTATTTAATCAGTTTTGAACCGCTAGCAAAAACAATTTATTCATTGATAAGATTCGTCACTAAGTTATTACGTCTTATATGTCCGAAAGAATATGATTGTCCTTTGTCGGCTGACGTTCTTCTGCTTGTGATTTTTCGCCGTCTTTAGTAAGTGTCCATGCGAGGGTAAAATACAAGAATTTTTCAGTTAAATCTACAAGTAAAACACTTTGATTGTAAAAAGTCAGATATCTTATCCATCATATTTAATTAAGTTCCCAAGCTCAAAATCAATATGATTCCCAAAATTCATGATGACCGCCAAGATGGCGGTTGGATTTTATTAAATATTCACATACTCGTATCTATGTTGACAAAAAAATTCAATAAGAAATTGAAAGCCATTCTTTAGTTAAAAAATGTATAAAAACTCGAATTTATAACCATAAATAAAGTTTTACCTGCACTGGTGCTACAAATGAGCATTCAATTATATCAAACAACATAAATAGTAAACTTGTTTATGGTATATTTTGCCATTTTACAAAAGTTTGCTATATCTTGGCTTTTTAATTAGAATAAAACACACACAAAAACATATATCATATCCCTTTTCATTTGTACATGTGACATCATTATCTAAAGTTGATCGAATGCAATTTGATATTTTGTTGATTTCTTACTGTAGTCTGATTTAAAACAAGAAGTATCTTTAAAAATAACAAAAAAACTAGTTCTTAGTTTTCCAAACAAAGTCATATTAAATGTTAGCATAGCTTAAATAACAACGACATAATAATTTCTTGTAGGGTTATTAATCTTGAAAAAGGGAACACTTTAAGATTTAGTGTTTCTAAACAAACCTGCCGTGCATTGGTTAGTTAACTCGATTTCTAACACTAAAATGCAAAAGTATGAAAAATTATAAACATTATATCAATTGAACACAAGAATAATCAAATACTATATCAGGCACTTATTGAATATTATGAACTAAGGGTACCTGATAAGTTCTGATATTATTCTCGTTATCTTGTGTAAAATAAACTCTGTAAGTTCTTATGTAAAATAAACTGTTCGCAAGAAAATGTAATTAGATGTTTTGTTAAACAGGACTTAAATATATGGCCAATTAATCAAGAAAGTTAAAGAACTATCATGTCTTGTTTATTTTAAAACTGTATTTACATTTTATTTCATAATGTCAAGAACTATCCTTTACACTTTAGTCTTCTAAGAAAGACAAGAAATGCCCTTTACATTTTCTTTTAGAATGGCAAATGAGATTCACAGATTTCATTTGTAATTTTAAAAATCACAAATGAATGCTCGTCTTATATTCAGTTTTCCTTGTAAATTTTACAGGAGGTCAAACTGAAATCAGACCGGACTGGCCGGAAAAAATCAGACCGATTTTGATTTAAGATCTGATCAAATAGCTGATATCTTTTCTTCAACATTATACAATGTACGAAAATAAGTACGTATTGCAAATCAAAGAAACCATGGTTCAATGATGAATATAAGAAAGACGTAAGTAAATAGAAAGCTTCTCTTTCAAAATCCGAGCATTATCCACAAAACAAAAAAACATTAAAAATTGTGGAATATTCAGAGCCAATGCTAGTAGATCAAATTATAGTCTAAGCGCAAGTCATGTAAGTCATATGTTTCAGATAAAGCTGCAAATATCCCTATATGGAAAGTATGGCATGCAGTTGACAGATAAGAGGTAAATTAAAGAAATCCCACTGTTCAATGTAAAATTAATCTAATAATCTAATAATGGTCAATATGCAAAAAAACAACCAAAAAGCAATTAAAGAAGCATTGGCAAAAATATTTGCAAAACAACAACAAAACACATCTTCTTCAAAAACAAATGCTCAAATGAGTTTCTTAAGTTCCAGATGAACAAATAATTTTGACTTGAGCAAATGACAAAGTTCACAATTATCTCTTTTCTATCAAAGATTTAATTGATTTGATCAAGAAAGCGAAAGATAAAGCAACAGGTCCAGATGACAATTACTGTCGATTTCTTAAACAGCTTCCACATCAGTCTCTTGAATTTCTTCTTAAAATATTTAACAACATTTGGGTATATGACGAATTTCCTAATAGTTCAAAGGGAGCTGTGGTTATCCCAATTCCAAAACCTAAAAGGGATATAACACTGACCCTGCAAAATACAGTCCAATTTCACTTACAAGCTGCTTATGCAAAACATTTGATAGAATGGTAAATAAACCCCTGGTTTTTAAGGAATAATTACTAGCTTTCCATGAACAACATAGTACAAACAATCATTATGTCACCACGAATATTTCATTAGAGAAGTTTTTATAAATAAACAGCACTAGGTTCAGTTTTTTTATCTTGTCAAACATTATGGTACATCATGGAAATATTGTATTCTTAAAGAAAAAAGGATGCAGGTTTAAATAGTAGACTTCAAATCTTTTTTTCTAGCTTTCTTGCCGATGGAATCTTTAAAGTAAGACGTGATTCAATTTCTGAGAAAAAAACTTTCTATTCAATTTGCAACAAGAGTGCCATCGAATTGTAAAAGCACAACTAGAAAAGTTAGATTTAAACCAAATTACAACGACACTATTTTAAACAAACTAAAGGAAGGTAGTCTCTTGCTGTAAAATATAGTTTAGAAAAACTTAAAATGGACCCAAAATATATTCTTCAAAATGTTGAAGAAAATGTTTCGCCATGGACTTAAATTCAGAACATTTGTCAAAATCCAAAGAAGATCATGTAAATTTTATTCATATTCACACAGACGATCTCAAAGATGATTGCAAAGTTGGTGCAGCCGTCTTTGAAAATCATTTTACATCGCGAATGAGACTCCCTAATAATGTATCTATATTAACTGCTGAAACAAAAGCTATTAATTTAGCATTGTCAAACAATTAACAGCATAATAATTTATATTTTTTTCGGATTAACACTCCGTTCTATTTAATATCAATAAAAAAATGGAAAATTCGATGATAATATGATAAAGTGTTGTGTTTCATGTCAGTTAATGATCCCAGGACACGAAGGAGTGCAACGAAATAAAAAGTAGTTGCTCTGGCTAAATAATCCTTAAATACTCAACCTTTATTGGTACCAAATAGTGACTTTTAACCTTCAATACGCAAATTTATATGATCTGAATGGAAAGCAAATTGTAACAAAACCATATTAAACAGACTTCATTATATAATACCCTTCCCTAATTTGTCGCCATCCCTATCTCTTGTAAACGGTCATGATCAGGTCGTTCTTCTGAGATGTTGAATGGGACACGCTAGAGTTACACATTCTCATCTTTTAACAGGCTATTGTGCTCATTTATGTATATGTTGCAATGAGTTTTTCATTGTTTTAACATTTCTTCCTTGAACGCCATGATCTTGCACAAGTTCAGGATATATATTACCGAGAAAATTAACGTTCACAACTTTTTGACCTAATTCCTTCCAAAACATCAATCGACTACCCTGTATTCTAAAATTTAACCCTTTTTTAGGTTCCACGGTCTTAAGTGAACGCATATATTATTATTTATGTACTGTATGTCTAGTTCTGTGTCAATGTGCCGTTTAAGCCACAAAAACAATTATAAAGTAATACAATATCATTATCCAGCTTAATATAAGTAAGCTTTGAAGCAGCATGCCTCCAGATTAATGCTGACTATTTGAAAAATGTATGAACAAGTTAAATATTGTTAATTGAACAAAAAAGAAATTTATTCATGCAAACAATACTTAAAATCTATTATTACCACAAAAGGTCAAAATGTGCAAATACAGCATTATTATGATAAAACTGTAAAATCATGTACGTATTGTATATAACATTCAATTTATTTCTAAAATTGTAAATAGGTTAACCATTCTAACATCTTAAACATATGGTTTTGATTTTCTTGAAAATAGTTAAGCTCATTTGGAGGCATGTTACTTGAATTTCTATTTATTTTTAAAATCTCTGTGAAGTTGATCAGTTGTGTGTTGAATTTGGCGATACAAGCAATTACATACACTGGTTACAAAACCTGGTCAAAACAGAAAAAGCTCATCCAATGATTCCATGACAGCCTCTGTGTCAAGAGCAAAATCATGTACGGGACTGTTCAAGTGTACATGTAGCTGTGGTTAGGAAAAGGGCTTCCACGTAAGATGTAAATGTGCTACAGCTGAGCGTATCGATGGCCAAATGCAACAGCTGCTGTTACAAGCTACGGCATTTCAAACATTATTATTCAATGAACATAAAATGTTACAATTATTCTGTTGAGTATACGTATCAACTGAGAACCTGACGTTAACACTGAAAATATGTCATTAAATTGATATTTATAATAGAAATTTGTTATTTTGATATTGTTGTGAAATTTGAAATTATTGAAAGAAGTCTTCAGTGGTCACTGTAACAATAATATTGTTGTCCTTATTTGATCAGTTATTTAAGTTACTATTATAACAGACTTTTAACTCGTTGTTATTCAGAGTTATAAGGTGAAGTCCAAAAAGTCTTAAAAGAAAGGGTGAATTATGAGTCATTAAATGCAAAACAATAAAAGTCAGTATACTGGCGGCCATATTTACCACAATATCTTATGCCAAATATTATGTGCAACTCTTCAAAGATTTGTTTGAAACACATAATAATAATACAAATGTATATAACTCTAGATATTGTATTATTTTGTAAAATATTGTAAATTTATTGAAGGGTATTTGGCGGCCATTTTTGGATTTTTGCCATCATTTTGATTTTTATGCTGGGGTCTCGATACAAAACATCTAGACAGGCATCACACAAGGATTATCCAAAATGGTTTGCTTGTAGAATTGATAGAACGGTTATATGTACTATGGCTATTATAAAAACTATGTGTATATCACGTAAACATGTTATTTTGATAAATATGTAAAAATAAATTGGTTCCGGTTCCGATTGATAATTCTTCGTTTTATATGTTCAAAAACAACGCTCCGATCTTAACACGTCATCTTGTCCTTCGTAAAAAATTTAGGCAAGCTCAAAATTTTCCGCCGATGCCCTGTGCCTTCTTTACGTAAACGTACCGAGGGGATGGGATACTGTATTCTATTAGGTTATATAACAAACGTGACGTTATTATAAGTTGAGGGCAAATTTCAGGGATTGGTATCTTTCGTTATGAAATTAGTATATTCGATGACTCAAATAAATTTTCATTAAATAGTAGATGCCAAGCTATTACAACGAAACACCGGTAGGGCCATTTCAACTTAATGAATTCCCAATATTCACAATTTTAACTTCCTGAATTCCCGTTTTGAACATACGGAATTAACAAATTCACGGTTTCCTTTCATGAATTGTGAGTTTATGAAGTTGAAATCGGGAATTCATGAAGCTGAAATCGTGAATTTGTGGAGTTGAAATCGTAAATTCATGAAGTTGAAATTGTAAATTCGTGAAGATGAAATCGGGAATTCGTGAATTCGTTAAGTTGAAATGTCCCCTCCGGTCTTTTGTATATTACAGCGTGCTTGTTTCTCACTTTTGTTAATCGAAAATGATAATAGTCAATACTTTTTGTTTAGTTTAAACAATATTTTGTTTATAGACATTACATTTACATGATAATTGACAATAAAAAAATAGTACGGATTGAGTAGGAAGCTTGAAAAGCTTTTTTACTTCTTGTTTAAGTAATTAGTAAAAACTCTCTCTCCAACTTTAACTTATTTATCTCTATTATAGATAATTATTCTTGCGCAAAGAAAGTATCCGCATGTTTATGTGTAGTAGCATGTCTCTGACCTTACAATTAAAACAATAACCGTGTTGTATCACAACATTCTTTTTCGACTAATATGCCGTAAGTTCCGTCCAAAGGTTTTTTTTATAAGGAAATAAATGCAAATATTAAAAAGGAATAACACTGTTAAGTTCAATGTATAAATAAACTGACAATATTTATAATATCATTAACTGTATGATTATTCGAACTAAAAACAATAATACAAATGAATACAAATAATTATTCAAAGATGAAATTTGCGAATAAAAATAAACTCACCTTGTCTCCAAGGTAGAAAATTCCGCAATGTAATGCTGTTATCTCTAGACTATTGTTTGAGACAGGTGTTTATCTTTAGGACAGGCCCTTTTTAAAACAAAGGAAATATGTCATTAGGTCTTACACATTCACAGATCTGTTTTTGTTAAAAGACAGACCCGATCACGTAAAGCATTATTATTTATTATGACAGTGTTATCAATATGAATACATACAATTTACCATCAATATAAGAACAGTCATAATAGAAAGTATATTGCCACTCCATAATGGAGTTATTAATTATGGAAGGGGATATCCGCCATAACAAATACAATAAATAAATGTGTTTTGTTTGTTTGTTTGTTTCATTTTACGCCTTTTCGCAACAGTATTTCAGTCATATAGGCGGGTAAGTTCCTAACCATCGTTCCTGGAGAGTTACACCAGTACTAGACTACCTTCCTCCGCGCTAAACTACCAAAGCATCTCCCGGGGATCGAACACAATACTGGTAAATTGGCGTATAGAAAGGTATTAATGTAAACAATGCAGTCATGTAAATTAATCGTTCTTGCATATAAAATACAGTGATATAATTTTGAATTAATCTTTGAATATTATTGTCCCTATATTTCTAATTGCTGTGTCCATTTTTCTAATTTGTTTGTATGTAAATTCACATGTAAATTATGTTGTGCATTTTCGAAATTCATTATTCTATGCGCTAAGGTGGCTGATTTTTGCCATTCGTGTTTTCGCCCCGCGACCCCGCCAAGAGAAAAGTCGAAAATTAAGAAGTTAAAAGGGTGGGGGGGGGGGGGGTCGCAGCGAAAACACGCTTATAAACGAGGGCGCGGGGCGAAGTTTAAGAAATAAAACGGCGGGGTAACGGGACGAAAACACGATAATTAGCGGGGGCGCAGGGCGGAGTTAAATATATGAAACTTCGCCGCGCGCCCTCGCTAATTAGCGTGTTTTCGTTTCGCGACCAACAAAACGAAAAGTCGATAATTTACAAGTTACAATGTCGGGGGCGCGCAGCGAAAACACAGTAATTAGCGGGGGCGCTAATTAGCGTGTTTTCGCTCCAAGCCCCCGCCGTTTTATTTCTTACATCTCGCCCCCCCCCCCCCGCGGTGCGAACTTTTATTTCTTAACTAAATGGTCACGTTTGTAAATGGTCTTACAAAATCACTCTTGTTGTGTTAAATGTAATAATTGTCAAAACGTATTTTACAACTCGAAAATGTAATTTTTTAACTTCCAATAGTCCGTGTACTATCTTCTTATTCCTTTTATGGAAAACGTTAGACTTTGTAATATAAGTTCTTTTACCTTTTCATTTATTTTTCTGTCCGTTTGTATGTAAGTTTATGCTAAAATAATCGACCGAGGCAAGACCTGGTCCTGAATGTCATGTGAAATCGACAAAGAATAGCGTCATAATATTGACATAAGGGCTAACAAAAAGCGGCACACATGACTTATCTCACAACACTTCAAATTAGGGCTGATAGGAACACTTCCTGTTTTGATGAGATCGCTTGTTTGCTTTAGCTATTCAGTTTATACATTACACAGATAGTGCGATGATGCATTCAGTAGTTGAATCGCGGACATAAAAGGCAAAGTACTCTGCCAAGTAGAAGCACAACATGAAACATCATTTTTAAGCACAGATGTTTTTTAACAAATAAATAAAAGAAAAAAAGAAAATATTAAAACAAATGAACGCAAGTGAAGTTGCGATTGATTGAAATAAATCATCGACTTAAATTGATTACGAACTACAAACAAAGTTCTTGGGTGATAAGACACATTTTACAGTGGCACAAAGGTCACATGTGTGTATTTTTATTTATCTCGTGCGCACGATATATAATGTCGTGGCTACGAATAACTTAATCGTGACCACAGGAAAGTGAAGCCGTAGGAACGAGATACTATATCGTGGCCATGAGTTACCTAGTATTGGGCACGAGATAATTAAGTCGTGGACACGATATACTATGTCAGATTACATTAGACATTGGTTAATTATTTTGTGCGCACGACTTAGGAATCTCGTTTCCACGACTTAGTAACTCGTGGTCACGACTAAATATCTCGTGCGCACAACTAAATTATGATGTGGCCACGACTAGTTAGCTTGTGGCCGCGACACAATATCTTGTGCCCACGACATAGTATCCCGTTCCTACGACTTAATTAAAAGAATTAAGTTTCAAGTCCATTGCTTTTATAAAGTGTAGGAGAATTGGCCCGGAAAAAATAAAGTATTAAAATTAACAAGGGGCAAAAACTCTAAAATTATGAAGTATAGAGTACCGGCTCTTGTGCACTGCAATTCTGCTCAATGAGATCTATCATCCTATCAAGTTTCAAGTCAATTGCTTTTATAGTTAGGACAAAAAAAGTATGAAAATGAACTAAGGGCAATAACTTAAAATCATGGAGTATATAGTGCCGGTTTCTGTGCATTGCATTTTATCTCAGTCAATGATATCAATCATCCCATGAAGTTTTAGGTCAATAGCTTTTATAGTTTACGAGAAATGGCCCACACAAAAATAAGGATATGAACATTAGCAATGATGAAAATTACTCAAAAAATAAAGAAGTGCAGAGTAACGATTCTTGTGCACTGAACTTCGCGTCATTGAAAGAAGTATGTATACCAAGTTTGTAAAAATGCAGATTATACCGGTATGAAGTGGTTCAGAGGATAATTTCCCACTGCCTTAATCCATTTCCTTGTAATCTGATTCGTGATAAACCGTAAATTTTACATAATATTCAATTTTCGCTGTCAAACTAAGTTAAATGTGTAATATAATTCAAGAACAAAAATTTCATGCTAAAGATAAAATATAAGAACTTCCTAAATTAAACAAGACTTCGGCATAAAAAGAAAATAACGTCAATAACTTTACTCATAGAATTGTCTTTAGATTACAAAGATCGGGCATAATGCAACTTTAACCAAAGTTTCCATAACATGAGGAGATGAAACAGTTAGAAATTCCATTCCGGTTCATTTACATTGCAAAAAATGTAAGTTCTCACACATTTGTTCATAAAGTCAAGGTCTCACAAAAAACACATTCTCAGGTGGTCTTGATCACAGTCAAATTCTCACTTAAATTCAAGTGCCTAATGGAATGATAAAATCGCAACGCGTTTTCATCATTCGTACCATCGCGGTTGCACCATCGTACCATTGCGTTTTCACCATCGTACCATCGCGTTTTCACCATCGTACCATCGCGTTTTCTCCAACGTACAATCAAGCCATTAATAATTATTAACAGTCATTGTACCTCTTCTGTTAACCATTTACTCTTACTTTGTATGCTAAAAAAAATAATAATGTCTAATTCTCAATAAATTATTTTGTATTGTATTGTGCATAAGATTATGATAATATAATTTTACGTAACTAACTACACGACGATGAGGCGTATACCACAATTTTTTCGCGCAACGTCAAATTATCATACTTCTGACCGCGAGCCACGCATTTTGCGTACAAAATGGATGTCAAGCCTGCATATTACTAGAAAACAGATAATAATTTGCCCAAAACGAGGTAAAAATCGTCGATATTTTCATACCATCGAATGTGTCTATTTATACATCATCTAAACACCATTGGCTAAAAGTACATTTTCAATTGAGAGTTTACATATCAGACATAATCTTAAATTCTCTAAAATGTTTTCATATCTCCCGGTCTGAAGTCTAATCGGGGCTACACACCATCTAAATTAAGCAAATGCTGATCTTTAACTTTAAGACATAGTGATTAAGCATATTCTTCAGTCTCATAATTTTATATAATCTATAGTTTCTTAACATATTTCTACTTTTCCGTGTAGGACCAACCTCACAATTAATATGGGTGTGCCGAGAACTAATAAACACTTCCATGATAGAAACATTCAATATCTTATCACAGAAATTCCTTTTATGTTTTACACAAATATCAATGAAGGATATCAATATCATAATTAATCATTTGTTCTAAACAAAAAGGAGTTAAAGTATAGAAAGCTATTATTCCTCCGCACAAATATTTGTTTGAATTAAAACAAAATATATACTTCCGGAGTGACTGTATGAAATAATTATGATAGTAAATAGCATTTTAAGCGAATAGCGATAATCATTGCTTAACAGATAAAGCCCTTACAACCCTTCAACCACACCATTATAAAACAATTTAAACTTTGATGTTGATAACCTTAACGAAAATATTATGTCAAGATATGATAAGGAAAAAAAATACACGTCAACAACAGAGATGTTTATATTACTCTATTATCTACCGGTATTGACCTACCGGGAGGTCTTCATCAAGACGAAAATATCTTGTATATATTCAACTAGATACATTTATAAATGCTCAAAAGTAAAAAGTTTCAGGTCGAGTGGCAAAGTATTTGATTATGAATTTCACATTTTATAAAAACAGCATATTACCAATCAAACCATCATACTAATTTCTGAATTTTCATTTTTAAATTAGATAATAGACAAAATTCTTAATTTGGGCCATAAACAATATTCTATGAAGAAAAGGAAAACAAAAACATTCATATCTTGAATAAAAGATTTACATACTTAACATGCACATAAACACATGTGATTTATCGATTTCAAAGGTTCGATAGTTTCACATTTCAAAACACGTGTTGTAAATAACATTAGCAAAATTTTACTATGAATGTAGTGATCACTTATAACTGCGTGCCTTTAAATGAGTCAAAATATTGTCAGTAAATCAATCTTCAAAAATTTTTACTAAGTTCTAACGAAAGTGATAATGATTATAATTTCAATTTATTACTTACATATTATATGCAATTAATTACTGATATTGCAGTACTTATTACGGTATTTCTACTGCATGACATACGCAACAAGGAAATTTGTGCATACTTTTACCTCTCGTTAGTAATTCACGTGTATGTTCATGGCAATTAGCACGGATCCGGAGGTATTCTGCTTAAATGTACTTTTCAATATAACAAAGCATAATTTACGTTCTAATTTAAAGTGTAATAAGGCACACAAATATCATACATTAACAATAAATGATTTAGTATATCAAAACTAGATTAAGCATTATAGTATCAACATAAAAAATGCATAATATATCTGCACCGACCAAGCCAGTGAAGACTTTTA